TTAATATTTATATATTTATAATTTAAATTAATTGTTAACCAAATATTAAATTAAGTGCAACTTCCCCGTGCAGGGCACGGGCATAAACACTAGTATCTAATAATCTATCAAAAACCATGTCGCCAAATCTTAATCACTCATTTTAGAAATTTTAGTTAAATTATCATACAACATTTCTTTTTGGTTATTCAACCACCAATTGACCCTTCATTTTAATCACAATAAACCAGTTAGGTACAGAATTCCCACAACCAAAATTTCTCCAATCCTAAACGAACCATATAATCCAATGATAAAACCGAATCTAAACATAATTTAGCTTAATTCCTTTTATACTTTAAGACAACAAATTAAAAATAGAAGGTGAAAAAACCCATTTAAAAACAAAGTTTCTTCTAACTGAAGTTATCTTAATTCGATTTAAACCAAAATCATATCAAACCAAAGAAAATTTAGGTTTACTGTAACAACAGTTCTGATACTACAATACATTAACCGGAAAACCGGTTGACTTAGAACCAAAACTCCCACATTCAACAATCCTCCAAAGTGGCGTCGTTTTCATCGGCTTTCTGATTAATCGCCGCCGTATCATCACCGTGCCATGACCAAACGATGTCGTTTAACGCAGGCCGTACTTCTTCTTCGTATAATTTATTATACTCCAGTGTATCTCCCGCCGATTTACAGAACTCAACCACCGCGATCTCCGGTGCTACTTCGAACACTTCCGCCGTCATCGAGAGTCGTCCTTTTCTCCCTTCCGTTTTCCCTTCCATCTTCACTTTGAAATCCTTAGTAGTCTTCACTTTCATATTCATCTCCTTCGTAACCGTCTCGATCTTCTCCATTATCTCCGTCGCCGACGACCGTGAAGTAAACACCGATTGCACCTTCCTCTTGCTCTCGAACAAGCTCGATAGATCGAATCCTGACGACATCGACGAGATGAATTCAAAAGCGTTGAAGAATTTCGGCGAAATCGGCTCTGTTTCTTCCCAATCGCGATCTCCCTCTCCGTCGTCTTCTTCGTTGTTGTTATTGCTCGCGGAACAGATCGGTTCGTCGATTTTGAAAGCTAACGGCGACGTGAAGTTTTTCCTTAACCACGGCGTACGCATAATCGCCGGAATCGAGATCCGTTTATCTGGATCAACGACGAGGAGTTTCAAAATCAATCTCCTAGATTCCGGCGAAAACCATGGCGGAAATTCGAAATCCGCTCTGAAAATCTTCCGATACATATTCATCAGATTCTCATCTTGAAACGGCAAACAACCAGCGAGAAGCACATACAAAACGACGCCGCACGACCATATATCCGCCTTAGCGCCGTCGTATCCTTTCTTCCTCAAAACCTCCGGGGCAACATACGCCGGAGTTCCACACTGCGTATGAAGCAATCCGTCTTGTAGAATCTGTTCAGGTAAAGCAGATAATCCGAAATCGGAGATTTTCAGATCTCCGTTCTCGTCTAAGAGAAGATTCTCAGGTTTCAGATCTCGATGAGAAACGCCTCTGCTATGGCAAAAATCAACGGCTGATATCAATTGTTGGAAATATCTACGAGCTGCGTCTTCTTCAAGCTTACCTTTAGCTACTTTAGAGAAAAGCTCACCTCCTCTAACGAACTCCATGACGAAGAAGATCTTCGTCTTCGTAGCCATGACTTCTTTTAATTCGACGATGTTTGGATGACGAACGAGTTTCATGATTGAGATCTCACGCTTGATTTGATCCATCATACCTGGTCTCTTCATGACTTGATCCTTGTTGATGATTTTGATCGCGACGCTCTCGCTTTCGCCGCCGGTTAACTCTTTGCCGTAATAGACTTTCGCGAAGGTTCCTTTGCCTAATAACCTCCCCATCTCGTATTTTCCGAACAGAATTCGCCGTTCTTCCTCCATTGATTTTTCTCTGTTTCTTCGTGAATCTCAGGGAAAAGGATTGGGTTAAGAAAAGCTGTTGATGATGATCCATGAGGTTCGGTTAGTATTGAGACCAAGAGGAATCGATGAGAAGGATATAGAGTCAGAGGTGAAGTGGAGCAAGTCCATATTCACCATT